CGAGCTGGTCTGTGCTCATGGACTTGCCATCCATCGCAGGATCTGATGTGATGGCCGTTGCCGTGACCTTCCCGAAGAAGACCGCCTTGGGCTGGGGCGGTTTCCGCCCGCGCCTGCTGCTGCTAGGCCAGCCCTTCGCGGACCGAGTGGTGGAGTTGCTGGCGGCTTGGGGGCGCGACCCCAGACCCTCTGACCTCTTCGCCACTCTGATCGCGTTCCTTGCAAAGCCCGATGGAGGCAGGCGGCCCATCGGGCCGATGGCCTTCTGCGTGCGCCTATGGGGCCGCATTCGGCGGTGGCGCTGCGCCGAATGGGAGGCCGAGCGCGAACTGCCGGAGATGCGGGGAAGCAACTTCGGACGCCAGCTGCGACGGGGCGGCCTACCTCCACAACCTCTGACTCGGTCTGGCTCGATCGAGAGGGTTCGAGGGCGCCTCCGTCTACTTAGACATCAGCAAGTTCTACGATTGCATCGACGACCAGCAGCTCCTGAAGGCGGCGCAAGAGCACAACTTCAGCCCTGGCTTGGTGTAGGCCCTCTGTGTTGGCTACTCGGGCCCCAGGCGGGCGACGGTGGGCGTCGCCGTCAGCGAGGAGATCTGCGCGGCTGGCTCGTTGATCGCAGGCTGCTCTTGCGCGACCGCGATGGGTCGGCCCATGCTGTGCGACCTGTTGCTTCGCGGTCGCGCACTCCTCCAAGTTGGACGGGTAGTGAACGTGATCGACGATGTGGCGGGGCGCGGCGTTGGCACGAAGCGAATCTTGGCGCGCCAGATCAACCTGTTCATCGCAGGGATCATGGACATGCTGAGGGACAAGCGCCTGCCCATCAACTGGGCCAAGACGAAGGCGTTCGCCTTGTCAGTGGCTCTGCAGAGGGAGCTGCAGGCGCAGGCGAGATGGCCGCTGACGGCTGGAGCCTTCGTCTCGGGCCACCGCGGCCCGGGCAAAGGCGCGACTGCTGGGGGCCATCGCAGGGCGACGACGCAGGTGTCCCGCGAGCTGGCGGCCTTTCGCCAGGCGGACCGCCTGAACCGCATCTTCGGGCCAGACCAGAGGGATGAGGGCTGGGCCGGCAGCTGAGGCCCTTTGGGGCTCGGCGACGTCGGGGGCGCCGCCAGACCGCGCGCGGGCCCTCCGAGTTGCCGCGGCGAAGAGCGCGGGGCGGCTGGCCCCAGATGCTGCGCTAAGCTTCGCGCTGCAGTGCTCATCCCGCGGCCGGCGCCAGGGCCCCCTGGTCATCGGGGCGGGCGTGGCGGTGCGGGCCTTCGTCAGCCCCGCGTGGGCCCGACAGACCTGTCCAGCTGCTGTCGTGGCCTGCCTCGACGACCGCGCTCGGCTCGAGCGCAGCCGGCGACCCTGGGCGGCGGTGCGCGATCCCGTCTCGGCGCTGGACCTCACGCTGAAGCGCGTCAGCTGGCAGCTCACGGGGGGCGGCCCCCTTCTGAAGGATGAGCAGGGCATGGCGTTCGACGCCAGGTGCTGGTCGCCCCTCTTCCTGGCGGAGCGAGCGCGCGAGGCGACCAGGAAGGCGGCTGCCCTCGAGGAGTTCCGCGCCCGACACGAGGTGCTCTGGCCTCGGTGCCTGCCGCCTGCTTGGAGGCCCGTCGACGAGCTGCTGGGGATGAAGGCCATGGAGACCTGGGGCAGCCACCGCAAGGGTTGCTTGCGCTGGCTGGCCCCATTGGCCCACTGGCCCCAGGCCAGGCTCGCCAGGCGTAAATGGGACATCAGCCCGACGTGCCTCTTGTGTCAGGCTGGGGCGGGGGCGATCTTCCACGGGCTTTTCGAGCGCCCAGCCCAGTAAGCCTCGAGGCGCGACCGCCTGCGGCCAGACTTGCTTCAGGGAGCCAGCGCGGCCCGCAACCTTGGAGACAAGTTCGGGGAGCTGTTTTCCCGCGGCCTGTTCGTGGACGCTGCGCTCTCGTTGAATCGCCCGCGCTGGTAGCCGCGCTGGGAGTGGCAGCGCGTAGGATGGGGGGCCCCATGGTTGTCCTTGCTGGCGCCGTGGTCTTCACGGACGGCTCCTGCATCAATGGGCGCCTCCCCTCCCTGCGTAGCGCTGGCTGGGCCGTCGTCGTGATGTACCAGGGCGGCAGAGTGCTAGCGTCGGCCGCGGGCGCGGTGCCACCGCGTGAGCTGCCCTCGCAGACGGCGCGCGCAGGTGAGGATCACGCGGCGGTAGTCGCCCTCGAGGATATCGTGGGGATGCGCGAGACCCTCGGCGACTGCAAGGGGGCGGTCGATTACATCCGTGACCCGAAGAGAGCGCAAGGGCCCACCTCGCTGCACGCCCACCTGCGGGCCCGAGGCGGTGATGCCGCGGAAGGAGTGGCTGCCGGGCGCATTCCTGCCCGCGCGTCTGAGGAGGCGGTTAGGCGCGGGGAGATCAGCGCGCTGGAAAGGGACGGCAACCGCATTGCCGACCAGCGCGCCAAGCTGTGAGCTAGCCTGCACGCAGCAGATGATGATGATGATGTGCTGATGCTGAAGGGCCTGGCGGCCCGAGCCCGAGATGCGGCGAGGTGCGCGGCGGAGATCGAGGTCCACGTCTCCGACCTCGGCGCCAGGGACTGCTGGCCGACGGCGGCGCTGGAGGACCTCGACCTCTGGATCCCCGAGTGGGGCTTCACCGAGGCCAGCGCCGCCGCGGGGGGCTCCCCAGGCGCGGCAGCGGCCGCTGGGCTGGAGGTGGTGGCAGCTGCTGCGGCTTCCAGCGTTGTTGGGCCTCCCCGCGGCTCGTGCGGCCCGCCTGCGCGCGTGCGCCCCGCTGCCTCCGCGCCGGCGGGGCTTGGCGGGATGGCCGTGGCGGGCGGCTCGGGGCGCCAGGTGAAGCTGCTGGGGGCGCGAGGCGAGTGGCGCGCAGGATCCAGGCGGCCCCCGCTGGTGAAGACGATGCTGCCGGTGGGCGGTCGCCCCCGTCCGTGAGAGGTGACCCCTGGCAGGTGCGCGGGCGCCGGTTCATGCGGGGTCGTGTGCTGCACGGCGACTCCGAGGAGTTCTTGGTGTGCGCGACCTGCTGCGTGTGCGCGCGGGCCCCGAAGGTTGTCTGGAAGGGGCTCCGCGTTGAGTGCGTGGGGGCCGCGGCGAGGGCTCGGACTGGCTCCCGGGCGCAGGCTCGCAGCGTTTTTCAAGCGCGGCCTGCTGCCTGGCCCTGGCGCCAAGCAGACCTTCGGCGCGCTGGCGGCTCCCACGCCCGCGGTGAAGGCGCACTGGAGCGAGAAGCTCGGCGCCGCGGCGGAGGCTGGGGGCGGTGCGAGCGCGGCGGCCCCCGCGGCATCCGCCAGCTTGGCGGAGGCCGTGCAGCCCTCCAGGAGGAGGAGGACCGCCGCCTCGGTCGCGGCCGAGGGCGCCAGCGCTCCCGCGGGTGCCCTCATCCTGCCGCCCGTGGCCGCGGTCGCGCAGGCGCACGGGTTCGAGTCCGCCGAGGAGGCGCGGGCCAGGGGCCAGGTGGCGCGGGAGGCGAGGGCGGCCGTGGCGGGCGCCTGGGCGGCGACGGTCCATGAGGGCGGCTAGCGTGGGACACGCAGACTTGCATGAATTCGCTCACGGGCCTCGCGGCCCTTGAAGAGCAAACAGAAAAATGCCCTCACCGTGCCAAGTTTCTTGGCCCAGAGGGGGAGGTAGGAGCATCGGATTCTCACGATTCCAGGCTTTCCAGTTCCAGAAAATGTGGCCTGCGCATCGGGTTCTCCGTGTTGCAGGTCCTACTCGGGGGCGGCCAGGAGGGGGGTGATGATTGGGGGGGTATCATGGCGGGGGCCATGGGATCTCCCTGGATTTCACGCCCCCCTGTGGTGTTTCAGGTCGTCCTTCGGTCTCTCCCTCGTCCGCGCACATGTCTCCTCCCATGCTTTGCGATACCCCCTCTTGAACCCCCCCCTCTTGGACGCCCCCGACCTACTGGTCCAGGCGGTGGGGCGGGGGCCGGGGACCGATCCAGGCCTACAGTGAGTGGCTCGAACAAGGAACGCATACTTTTCAAAAGGGGCTCGGTCGTTCCGAGTCGTTCCTCAGGCTTGCATGCGTTATTTGTCATTCCTTATGCGCTATTAATTATTCATCGTTCCTTATGCGTTATTCCTTGGGAAAAGAGGGGCTTCGGTCTTTATTCATCGTTCCCTAGGTCAGGCCGATGACCGTATATGATGATCACCATGCCAGGTCCAGCAGGTCCAGAAACGTGCGGCAGGGGCGGGTTGCTTCCCACCGCTGGAGCACTCTTCATCTTGGGCCTCCCCGGTTTGGGCAGCGGTGCGGAGCCGCAGGGTTCGCAACCTTCCAAGCTCAGGAGGAAAAAAAAACAACAAGACACAATTAATCGTCGACCCCCCGGAAATAATATTGGAAACTATGGGAAGTGGGGGGGAAAACGAAAACCCAGAACATATGGACCAAATGAGGGGAATCTTGGGATTTGTGTGTATTTACTTGTGTGTCCTTGGGCCCCTTGACAAGTCTCCTAGGCCCCGCAGGAGTGCCAGGCACGAGCGGCCGCCAAGAACGCTCAGTGGCGCCAGGTCCGCTTGCGAATGGCGTCTTTCAGGCGCGCACACACCTCTTCCACGCGAGGGTCGTTCTCCAAGTCGGCAGTCCAGATACGTGTGTGTCTACGCAGGGCGACACCCTCGGAACTTCTGGGACTTCCACATGCTTCTCCCCTCTCGTGTCTCTCCTCTCTTCCCACTCCCAGCGCCCTGCACTTCCTACTTTGCCTTCTCCCTCGCCCTGCACCTCTCTTCCTCCCATCCTCCCGCCCCCTTTCCTCCCTCTTCTCCCGCCTCTCTCCTCTTTCTCCCTCCCTCCACCCCTTCTTGCCCCCATTCTTGCGTCCGTTTTCTTTCCTCCTATCCTCAATTCTTCTCCCTCCATCTCTGTTCCTTTCTCCCAGAGTCCTTTGCCCCCTCCCTTCCCCCCCTCCTTCTTCCCCTGCCTCCTTCCTCCTGCCTCCCCATTTCCTTCCCCCTCCCGTCACCCTCTTCCTCCCCCCTGTTGGGGAGGCGGCGCAGGGTGGCGGCTGCGCCGGCTGCCTGTGGCGGCATGAGCCGTCCAGGCACCGTTTGTTCTCGCTAAGTGTTCACCACCCACCAAACCACCCCAAGCCAACCCGAAGGCTCAGATTTACCCTCGATTTCCAGTGGGGGGGGTCGGGAAACATCGAAAAAACACATGTGGAACCCTTATCCCCCCCAACCCGAAATTCGGGTCTTCGGGTTGGGTCGGGGTGGTCTGGTAGGTAGTGGAATGTGTGCAGCATCGTCTGCTCATTCCTGCTCCTGCTCCTGCTGCTGTTGCCCCTCCCTCCTCCCTCCTCCTCCGCCCGCTGGAACCCGTGCGGCGCGCGGGGGCTCGCAGCCACCGCCTGAGGCACGGGTGTCATGTGACCTGCATGACTCATGCACTATTGACGTGTTCTATAGTGTAGGGGGAAACAATTCGTGAACCCCCCCCTGCCCCCCAAACTCAAGGTTGGCACGCGGGGGGGAGACTGCGGTCGAGGTGCAACTCATCAGACCCACCGCCAACTTTGAACATTGGGGGGAGGGGGAGGCGTTCACAGATGAATGTGGCCTGAGTGTTCGCTATTTTTTTCCGAGGCCTGTATTGACGTGTTCTACATCAGCAGCATTGCAATCTATGTTTTCCAAGTTGGCGCTTGCTCGTTGAGTCGACCGCGCTCTCCATCGCTCGGGGATCCCTCCTCCCCCTTTGTCCCTCCTACTTCTCCCCGCGCTGCGCCTCCTCGCATCTTTCCTGCTTTGTCGTCGCCGCGCATCTGCTGCCGTTTTGGATCAAGATTTCGAGCTGGGTGGCAAAATGGCAGCACAGTTGCTCTGCCGTGCGCGCCAGATCGAGGACGCCAGCGGGGTCCAGAGGGCTAGCCAGCTGGCGGCAAATCCTACGCTAGCCAGTCCAGAGATACTCCACCCCAATGTGCACTGACTGGCGGTGAGGATTGGAGATCGTGCTAAGACGCCCCTGGAAGCAATGCGCTCGATTTGGGAGGCAGTAATGTGCACGAGCTGCCAGCGACCGTGCACGACACCACGCCTACCTCGCTTCATGGACCACTTAAGCATGTGCCCCCCGATGCCATGGTAGTGGACGCGAAGATGAGGAGGGCGAGTCATGCTTCTGAGAGCATCTTTCCTTTCCATCGTCGCGTCCGTCATGCGGCTGCTGCTCAAGACTGGCGCGTAGACTGCCAGGCAGAGAGGGCCCGCAGCCATGCTCGACTCGAGGTTCTCGGCTCGAGGTTTTCGGAGGTCTTCGCCGGCTCTCGGCGGTGTTCCCTGCCTCGGGAGGCTCTCCAGCAGCTGCGCCTCGCCGAGGGCGTTCTGGAGCTGCTCGAGTCTTCCCAGACGGCCGCCAGAGACCCGAGCTATGACCCGAAAACCAACGATAGAGGGGGAATGTGCTCAGGGCGTCCTGGAGATCGTCGCGGCCACTCTGGCGCGACGGGCCCAGGGTGCGGCGCAGTGTGCGAGGCTTTGTTGACCTCTCGCGAGATGTGGGCGGCCTGGAGGCGGCTCGCTGCTGGCCGCGCAGCTCCGGCGGCAATGCCGGCGCACAACTGGGCGAGCGACCCAAGCTCGCCGCGCCCGATGCTTATGCGAGCACTGCTCCGAGCACTTGTCAGCTGACCAGCCTTGCACCTGTTCAGTCAGTCTCGGCCAGAATGTAGTGACGCCTAATCGGCCAGCAGCAAGCATGTGGAGACGTCCACTCGGCTGGCGGGCAGACCGCGCTGATGTCTCGCCGGCAAGAGGCCCAGCGCTCGTCCTCTCGCTCGGCACGGCCTAGGCCACGGCTGGACAAGCTGTGCGCACGCAGCTTGGGCCGCTGCTCGGCAGGGCCTAGGGGTCCACCTCACGGGCACGGTGAGGAAGCCACCGGGTCGGTGTGAGCTGCTTTGCCGGAGCGTATCAGGACAAGGGAGAACAAGAATCAGGGGTAGAAGCAACTGCTGCGCGCACGTTTCCCACCGACTGCGCGAGTGGCGCGATGGCGCCGGCTGCCGTCGAGTGGTTGGCCGGGTCCGCGGAAGCGCTCGGAGCTGAGAGCTGTGGTCCGCACAGGCCAGCAGCCACGTGGAGTCCACGCCCGCGCGGCCTGCCCGCCGCCACCGCTGGGGCTCGGCCTGCGCCAGGGGGAGGCAGAGGGCGGCAGGGGCAACGTCAGAAGGGGTCCTCCGGGCAGGTGCCTCGGGCCATGCTGCGCCCCCCCCCCCCCCCGTCTCCGTGGCACCCCTTGCAGGCTTTCAGGGCGCACCCGATCGATGGGGGAGGAGGTGGAGGAGGTGGAGGAGGAGGAGGAGGAGGAGGAGGACGAGGAGGAGGAGGAGGAGAAGGAGGGAGGAGGAGGAGGAGGACGAGGAGGAGGACGAGGAGGAGGAGGAGGAGGCGGAGAAGAAGGAGGAGGGGGGGCAGGGGGGCGCGCCGGCTCCCCCGCACCCGACAGGGCAAGGGAGGGGGGAAACACCCGGGGTGGGGGGCGGCGGCGCGCCAGCTGCAAGCGGAGTCACGGCGTGTACCCCCTCCCTGGTGGCTGCCGCTCCCCGCTCGCCTGTCGGAGGGCGAGCCCTGGCTTGTCTGGCGCGACAGGGGAGGGGGCTGTTGCTGGCTGGCTGTGGCAGTGTGGGCTTCGTCGCGTCAACCCCGTTGGAGGGTCTCTCACCCCGTGCGCCCAGTGTATGGCGGGACGAGGTCTGCATGCGAAGAGCCCAATCGTGTTCCCCTCGTCCTCTGCAAGGTCATCCCGCTTGGTCGTCCGTCCATGTTTTGTCCGCCGTCCTCCGCCCTCCGCTCTCTGTCCTTCTTCCCCTCCTCTGCCCTTACCCTTCTCTTCCTCCCCCCTCCCCCCTCCCCTTCCCCCCTCCTCCACGGTAATATTAAGTCAGCTTTGTAGATGCATTCATTGCCCACTGATAGAAGAGGTAAGAACTGAACGCAGGCACGACCTTCTCCCGGTGAAGACTGGCGCTTGCTTGACGACGCGGCAGTACTCGGTATTTAGAACACCTGATGGAATTTCATCGGACATGGCTTTCCGCCCGGGCCGCCCTGCGCGATACAGGCGCTCCGCCACCGCGAGGGCGAGACAGGTGCGCACGATCAGTGATGTTTCGGGCCAGTGCTCCGCACGGCAGCGCTGCTGCCGTTTCTGCTCACGCGCGCGCGCGCCGATGCTGTGCGGGTCTTGCCTTCTCTGATCCCGGGCCAGCCTCAACAGCTAACCTCCACTAAGGGGGCCACATGCGAACCCTACCCCTGCCCCCCACGATTTCTGAGGGGGAGGGTGGGGTTCACTTCGCTCGGGAGCTCCTGGGCGGAGTGAGCCCCGCCCTCCCCCTCAGAAGCCGTGGGGGGCAGGGGTAGGGTTCGCATGTGCCCCCCACCTCCACGCGAGATCGCTGAGCACCCGCGCGTAGGGCGTGCGCTTCGGGCACCCCCGCGGAGCTCCCCCTTCAGAAACCGTGGGGGGCAGGGGTGGGGTTCGCGCGTGGCCCCCTATCCACGCGAGATCGCTGAGCACCCGCGCGTGGGGCGTGCGCTTCGGGCACCCCTGCGGGCGCCCTCCTCCTCTGCGCCGCGCAGCACGGCAGAGGGGGAGAGCTCCCCACGGGCGCTGGAGCACCGCCGGGGACACGCGCGGCAGAGGAGCCGCCCGGCCGCAGGAGAGAGGGCCTGCGCGGGGGGGGGAGCGGCCGCCGAGGGCGGGAGGGAGGGAGGAGGGCACTCCTCGGAGAGGCACAGAGCTACGCTCTGGGCGAGTGGACTGGCTTTGAGTCGGGCGCGTCCCCCTACGGGGGGGATTCTCGACGAAGCATAAAAAGTACTCAAAACATATCCCCAAATGGTCAACAAATACTCAAATAATAGTCCCCAGATTATGTTTGGACTAGTGTTTGATTATTTTTTGGGTATTTTTTATTTTTCGTCGAAAATCCCCCCTGTAGGGGGACACGCCCGACGTAAGATTAGCTTCTTGCGCGGATCTCCAAATTCCAAACTTCCTTTGCGGCATCGCAGTAGTAGTAGTGGTAGTAGTAGTAGTAGTAGTAGTAGTAGTAGTAGTAGTAGTAGTAGTAGTAGTAGTAGTAGTAGTAGTCGTAGTCGTAGTCGTAGTCGTAGTCGTAGTCGTAGTCGTAGTCGTAGTCGTAGTCGTAGTCGTAGTCGTAGTCGTAGTCGTAGTCGTAGTCGTAGTCGTAGTCGTAGTCGTAGTCGTAGTCGTAGTCGTAGTCGTAGTCGTAGTCGTAGTCGTAGTCGTAGTCGTAGTCGTAGTCGTAGTCGTAGTCGTAGTAGTAGTCCTCCTTCCCCCCCCCCCCCTCCTCCGCGGGAGAGAGCGGAGGTGCCGCCGTGCCTGCGCGGCGCCCGTGGGCCGACCTGCGGAGGGGGGGCGGGTCGGGAGGCGATCGGCGAGGGCCCCAGACGCCTTCGCGCTGTGGAACAAAAAGTGGTCGTTTTTGCTATGCATCGTTTTGCCGATCGGCGCGGGCCCTCGGACCCCCCCCCCGCCCGCCTCCCCTCCCCCCTCCCACTGGAGTGGGTCTTGGCTGTGCATGGCGCCTGAGCACCAGAACAAAATTACCGAAACTCGAGGGTTTTCGCGTGTCGGGCCCTGGGAGACACTCGTCCGACATTGTTTCGACACTGTTTCGACACTCCTTCGTCACTTCCCCAGGTGCTCGAAATTACTTCTGGGATGTGGTTCTTACGTCGGATGGGAGCAACATCAGCCTCGGGGCCGTCAAGAAGCGACTCAGGATGTTCGGATGCAACTCCTGGGAGGTCAAATTCTGTTTTTGCCCTGGTCCGAAATCCGGCTTAATCCGGCTTAATCCGGCTTGATCCCGCTTACTCCGGCCTAATCCCGCTTAGTCCCGCTTAATCCGGCTTAATCCGAGGCCCACTCTGGCAAAACAGCCCCCCAGTGGGGCCTAACCCTCCTTCATCTTTCCGACGAAAGCCTCCCAGTAGGTGCCTCCTACAGGCTGGAAAGCCGGTCCCAGGGAAGGGGTCCAGACCTCTCTGGTGGTCCATCTGGGAATGGGTACAATGCCCAACAGCAGTTCCTGTTCATCTTGAACGGGACTCGCTGTCCTCGCCGCCGCGGCCTGTGTCCATTTGAGACAGAAGGCCGCCTGCCCAACAGCGGCCGCTGCTGGTTCGGGCATCTTTTCCGTACCCATTTCGGCTCGAGCATTTCCCTACCCATCTTTTCCCTACCCATCTTTTCCCGACCCATCTTTTCCCTACCCAAGCATTGTTGCTGGGCATTGTGCCCATCTTTTACCTACCCATCTCGGGCGTCCAAAGTCCGCGCTGCGGAGCAAGCACCAGCGTCGGGGGTTCTTAGGGGGTCGATGGCGCGGCGGAGGGAGCGAGGGCGGGCGCCGGAATCCAGTTGGGCCTGTCCCCCCACAGGGGGAAGATGCAGAAACAGTCAAGAAAAGTAGTCAGGGGACGATCTCTGGTGCACTTTCGCGTATCTCTCGAGAGCATCTTTTGAACATTTTCTTATTTACTCGCTTCGCTCATTCCGCCGGCCCTGGAGCCCTCTTTAGGGCCTCTTGGGGGCCTCTTGGGGACCTCTTGGGAGTCTCTTGGGGCTCCTTGGCGGTGTCTTGGGGGCCCCCAGGGCCTCTTGGGGGGCTCTTGGGGGCCTCTTGGGGCAGGAGGGGGGGTAGTCGATTGCGCCCCCCCCCTCGGAGGCCACGATCCTCGTGAGGGGTGTCGAAAAATTGCCCGGTCCGGCATCTCTGACCCGACCCTGCCGGGACCTTCTCGGGACTTGCCCAGGGTACTTTTCGCCCGGGGACCCCCAGGGGCCGCCCCGCGCGCGCGAACTAGAAATATTGTTAACCAGTTACCGAAGATCTTAGCACGCCTCTGGCCCGTTGGGCCGGCGAATTTTTCGTCCAAACTCCGCCTGACGTGCCCGACCTGACACCAGAATGGGCGATCGCCTTCCCTCAGGAGCAAGGGGTCATGATAGTGACACGTTCCCGGATTTCCAGGGTTTCCGAGATTTCCAAACGTTCTACGCGGGCTGCAGAAACGAGGGCCGCTAGACATTCTGGAAATCCTGGGACATCTCGTTCTCGTCCTATTCCCCAGCCTTCTGGCGACTTGAAGTCACGTCGCCCGAATTGGCTTTCGCCTCTTGTGACGTCCGGAGGCCGCTTGTGGGTCAAGGGACCATCAGAAGCCGTTCCCGAGCAAGGGGTCGAAAACCCTGGAGGGTGGCGACTCGAAAACATCGAGTCGTCGGAGGCTCGGGTTTCGGCATGGTGTGCTCAACGAAACGTTTTGGCCAAGTCCCATGCTTCACTTAGCTATTCGCGATAGCATGCACAAGGCCAGTGCTCAGCCACCGATGGGATTCCAGAGTTTGGCTGATCCGTGAAGCTATTCGGACGGACTCGTGTTTTTTCGCTGAGCCTGAGTTCACGCTTTTAGACCGCCGCATGACGCCGTCAAGTTGTGCGTGCATGGGGGCCACTTGCGCGTATCATGTGTACGGTGAGACCAGCGCATGCAATTTCCACTTCACGATCCAGTTAGCATTCAGAGGAGATGGACAAGAACAGGGAACCCTCGATGCATCAATGATGCTGCAACGCGCCCTTCCGTCCCAAGCCCCCCTGTCATACGTCCCTGCGCGCATTCTTGCGAAAGAGGAGCGCGCATTGGGCCTGCTCTTCAGGCGGGAGGCCCGTTTTGAAATGTGACTTTCCAGCGTCCTTCGATCAATGCCAAGAGGTAGAGTCATGAAGTCTACGGAAGTGTTCAGCGATATCTTTGGTTAACATACAGAGCTTTCTGATTTGTGCAAGCGTTGCAACTATTTGCACTGTTGTAGAGCTAGAAGAGCCCCATCTTGAAAATGAGTTGGCTTCCTTCCGCCTGGCTGGTGCGTGAGTGTACGTGCATGATTGTGCCGTTTGAGGACGTTTCAAGCGAGAGTCTCATCGTGACAGTGTATTTTTGGTTATGTAGGTTTTGATGAAGGCGCAAGTGGAAGTTCATTTTTTGGCGAACGAGCCGAGCTCCCTCTTGGTGGCTGTTGGAAGACGCTTTTCACGCATACGTGTGGGGCTCCAAGGCGAAAGCCTCGTTTGAAAACGGAGCCGCCCTCCGTTTGTTACGACGTTTGGAAGTTTTGAGGATGAATCTGCGCGGCGCTGAGGCGAGAGCTGCATTTTAAAAAGAACCTGCCCTCCATGTGGTGACTTTTGTATACGGACAGCGCGTTGCGGACAGCGCGATTGCTTTCTCTTTCGGGCTACTGTTCACAATATGAGTTTGCTTGTTGCAGGTCGGCTCTTGTGGCGTTCCCAGCTTGCTTGGCGTAACTTTATATTGATCTGTGCTGCCTGCCGCGAGGTGGGGGCATGTTGCGGCCGCGAAAGAACTGTTGTTATTATTTTAATGCGAAGGTGTGCGGCGCTGCTGCGAGAGCCATGTTTGAAGACTCTCCGCCCTCCATGCTCAAGGCGAATGCGCTCTGCGCTAGGGCGAGAGCCCCACTGTGAGAACGAGCCCCATTGGAGCAGGAACTTGAACGAGGAGGAGGGAGGATGGAGGACGGAGGGAGGGAGGGAGGGAGGGAAGGAGGGAGCAGGGAGGGGACGTGGCAGGGACGACAGCCTGGACAACCTGCAGGATGACTCGCTCCCGCCGCCTCCGCTCCACGAGGACGGCCCGTCATCTTTGCCTCCAACCTGTGCTCCGGTCACCCGTGCAGGAGGAACAGCGGGAATTAGTGGGGAAGAGGAGGGGGGGGGGAAGGGGGACGGGCGGAGGAGGGTCGAGATTGGAGACCGTTTTTTTATTCCTTGGCGGTAGCGAGCGTGACTGGGGGGTGGAAGGGGGGGGGCGGTCACGTCACGATTCGCGCCGGCGCCGTCTTGGAGTGCCTACGAATTTCGTTTGGGTTTCAGCCTTCATCAGAACTGTGGCTTGGGCTACCTCTCACAGTGTGCAGCGGTCTGAACCAGGCCGCTTCCTTGGCAGTCCTGAGATGGAGAGATTCCCTGTTCCTTCGGCTGTTTACCCCACCCGAAGTTCGAACACCTTACTGCTCTCAGTTTCCGCGTTATGCTTCTGCTGCTGTGTTACTGGTGGTGCTGCCCCCACCTCGCTCCCGTAAGGACTCGTACGTCCGCCAGGACACCGACCTCAGCATTGACGCCGGGAGCCTCGCGATGCAGTCAACGCAGGCACGGCGGACCCCCGCTCTGGAGACTATCAGAGGTCAGTTGTCTTCCGCTGTATTGGAGCCGTGAGGTGACGAGGAGGGGAGATGGAGAGAGGAGTCTTCAGGCTTGCGCGAGGAGGAGTGGGGAGGAGTGGGAAGGCGGGGGGGGAGGGCTTGGAAAAGGCGGATGATGAGGATGGAAGGTGGGAGGGGTGTGCAGTCAAGATCCCTCAGCGATACGCCGTCAGAGCTCAAAACCTTGGAGAGGGTGAGGTCTAGCGATAACAGGCTTTGAGGCAGCTGTGACATACAGGGATGCCCCCGCTACTGATTGGAGTGAATGGTTTCTGTCCACACGAGTCCGTGTCGGATGGGGCACGCGTGGTCAAGTTCAGCGCGCATGTTTGACGCGCTCTTGTCCCTATATATATATATATATATATATATATATATATATATATATATATATTATAATCCGGAAGGACTTCGCCCCATGCCGCCGGCCCCCTGTCTCAGATAATGGGAGGTGCACAAGCTAAATCATAAGGTCTGGGCGCCGCCGTGAAGCAGTGTCGGGACCTGTCTGTTTTTCGACCCTGACCCTGCGGATCTGCGTCCCGGGTGCCACCGAATTGTAGAAATGTAGCAAATACTATGTGTTTCTTGGACCCTGACCTTCCGGATCTGCGTGAGGGGTGCCACCGAATTTCAGAAATGTAGCCAATCCTTTGCGTTTTTGGACCCTGACCCCGCCGATCTGGTGAGGGGTACCAGCAAATTTCAGAAATGTGGCAAATCCCTTGTGTTTTTGGACCCCGACCCCGCCGATCTGCGTGAGGGGTGCCAGCAAATTTCAGACATGTGGCAAATTTTTGGTCCCTGACCCCGCCGATCTGCGTGAGGGGTGTTAGCGAATTTCAGAAATGCGGCAAATCCTCTGTGTTTTTGCACCCTGACCCCGCCTGCGTGAGGGGTGCCACCGAATGACAGACATGTAGCAAATCGCCTGTGTTTTTAGACCCTGACCCCGCCGATCTGCGTCACGTGTGCCACCGAATTTCAGAAATGTGGCAAATCCTATGTGTTTTTGGACCCTGACCCTACAGATCTGCGTGAGGAGTGTTAGCGAATTTCAGACATGTGGCAAATCCTTTGTGTTTTGGGACCCTGACCCCGCCGATCTGCGTGAGGGGTGTCAATTTTTACCCATCCCAGCAATTCAGACAACACGCTCAGGGCGTGGTAAAAATGCCCGTTTTGGGCCTTCCCCCCCTCGCGCGGTCCATCAACAAGGAACAGTAAGCAGCAAGGAGCAGAACTGTAACAATGGAAACTGGAAGCTGCAACTGGTACAGAAAACTGCGAACCTTCGGCCGACAGCCTGGTGGCCCCACAAGGGGGCCGGCGGATTTCTTTCACGTTGGGTACGCTTGGGTAAGTTCGAGGTGCATGAACGTCATGCCGTTTTCCTTACTCTCCGTCAGCTTCTTTCGTCGCAAGAACTGGCTCGCATACTCTGTGCGTGTGTCTTGGGCGAGCAGAAGACAGCTCCCCCATCCGCTCCCCTGAAGGCCCAGGAACGCCGACAAGCGCCCCCGAACTTTGCCACGCCTCCGGCGAAGTCCGAGCCCCACCCGCGCCGCTCCACTGTGCTGCCCGAACCGCCGATCGGCGAGGACCGGGCTCGGCGCCCCGCCGCCGGTCCCCCCGGCGCGCACCATCGCGGCGACGGCCTCTTCCCCCCCCGGGGGGCCCGAGGCAGCTCGGCGTCCACGGCAGGCGCGCGCCGCGCGGTCTGCGCGGTTGGAGGGCCACTGCAGTCGGGGGGCCGTCGTAGCTCATCGGCCCAGCACGAGCCTGGCCAGCCCCTGCACGCGGCAAGCTTGCAGGCCTGGTCGCCCGACGAAAATCGGCTTGACCCAAAAGGGGCTCCAGCGACAAGGGGGGCCCAAAGCTCGTGTGAGGGTCTTCTCCTCCTCCTCCTCCTCCTCCTCCTCCTCCTCCTCCTCCTCCTCCTCCTCCTCCCGCTGTGGGCTCGTGGGGTTCCACAGCTCAGGCGAACGGCGGCATGCCTCGGACTGACGGCGTTCCGCGGTCTGGAGCTGAGGCGCTTCCTGCGTCGGCGTGCACGATTGGTTCGCAGCGATGCGTGGGTGGAGCCGCCTGTAGCGGTCCCGGGCGAAGCTGGCGTGGCGCATGTTGCGAGCAAACGCCACAGCTCCAACGGGTTCACCCGGAAAGTGTGATACGCTTGGACCAGCTCGTCGGCTGCCTAAGCCTTGACGTCTCGAGACGCCGCTGGTGCACGGTCCGCTCCGCGCATGCGACGTGCGTCCGAATTGGCATTCTTGCGTTTGGCGTAGACAGCCTGTGCCACGCGGGTGCCATGAGCGGCGAGGAAATGGCTCAACCTGTAACCCAGCTCAGTCAGGTGGTTCTCACTGCCAAGCTTGGCAGACGTAGCCAACGTCTAGAGCCGACTTGGCCACCATGTCACGTAGGGCAGCACCGACCAGGCTCTGGGCGCCCAAGCAGGCGTTCTTGCGGGCAGGGGGGGGGGGACCTGCCGCGGGTGCGCGGCGTGGGGGTGGGAGGCTCCCGCCCCTCCGCGCCAGGCGCCGCAGCTGCGGGAGACACGAGCGGCCCGCTCTCCCGTGGCACGGAGGCAGCATCGAGAAGCCTCGAGGGTGGAGAAGCGAGGCGGGGATGCATCCAGGAGCACCGCCTGGGGGGTCGATCTCCGGGGCCCTCGGCGGGCGGTGGACACTGATGTGCAGTCGGCCCGCATAGCAAGAATGGGCAGCCTTCCCGAGGGTACCCTTTGCATCCTTGCCCTTTCGGCCCATCCTTAGCGACGTCCGCTCGCCAGCCTCGCTCGAAACACGCCAACACGGCCCTCCATAGCCCCTGCACCCTTGCCGCGCATCCTTCTCGTACGGGCTTCCTGTTGTTCATCAGGGGAAAAGACACAGACACAATTATTCCTCGATTCCCCAGAGGATGTGGAAAATATGGGAAGTGGGGGGGAAAGCAGAAACCCCCAAAACATAGGAAAATAGGGGGAGTCTGTTTACTTGTGTGTATTCAGTTGTGTGTCCTGGGGCCCCTTCAGCTGTTCCCCCCCCCCCCCCGCCCAGGGCCCGAACACGTCCACGTCCGCAGCGTGCCGAGGCCCCCGAGGAGCGGTCCCCACCGGCAGAGGCTGTGGACAAAACTCCCGGGCTCGGAGCCCGCCTCACCATCGCTTCGGGGGAGTCGAGGGTTGCTGGGGGGAGCAGGAGGAGGAGGAGGAGGAGGAGGAGGAGGAGGAGGAGGAGGAGGAGGAGGGAGAGAGGAGGAGGAGGGGAGGAGGAGGAGGAGGGAGGAGGAGGAGGAGGAGGAGGGGGAGGAGGAGGAGGGAGTGGGGAGGAGGAGGAGGAGGATGAGGAGGAGGAGGAGGAGGAGGAGGAGAGGAGGGGAGGAGGAGGAGGAGGAGGAGGGAGGAGGAGGTAGGAGGAGGAGGAGGAGGAGGAGAGGAGGGAGTGGAGGAGGAGGAGGAGGAGGAGGAGGAGGAGAAGGAGAGGAGGAAGGAGGAGGAGGAGGAGGAGGGGGAGGGTGCGGATGTCGCGACCTAGGGGAGGCAGGCAGGTGCGCGCGCACCCGGGCCTCTTCGGAGCAAATGGCCCGCCCCCTCTCCGCGCCGCGCCGCGCCAGCTGCTGCGCCTCGGGCTGTGGACCCCTTGGGCTCCCGCGACAGATCGGGGCTCCCTGGGAACAGGCCGTGGCGAGCGCACCTGCGAGTCCAGCATGGGGCTGGCACGCCAAGCCCCGCAAGCGGGGCTGCATGCTCGGCTCGGTCACACGTGCCACTGCGCCTGTCGCCCTGCCGCTTTTCTCTGGGCTGTCACGGAAGAGCCAACGTCCAGGGGCCGCCCAGCCGTCTTCTTCGCCCACGGAGTGCCATCTGGTGCTGGCTCAGGCCGAGCGGAGGAAGAGCCAGAGGTGGACGACGGTGAGGGTAATTCTTTCCCCCCCCCAAAACCATCACTCCTCGTGGCCATGCGTGGTTAATGTCAGGAGGAGGATGAGGAGGATGAGGAGGAGGACGAACAGAGGAGGAGGAGGAGGAGAAGGAGGAGGAGGAGGGAGATGAGATAGCCACTCCATGCCAGGAATGCCAGCGCCAACGTTTGTTTCGTGTTCACGAAGGACGGCGGTCGGCGGAAGAGAAGAAGGATAACCAGGAGGAGAAGGAGGAGGATGAGGAGCGAAATGATGATTACGATAATGATGATGCTGATGATGATGATGATGATGGTGATGATGATGATGGTGATGATACTGGTAATGCTGATTTTGGCGGTAATGATGCTGCTGCTAATGATGATGGTGATGATGTTGATGGTGATGATGACGACGGCGATGATACTTTAGATCATTCAGACGATGATGTTGACGATGATGATTGCGATGACATTGACAATGTCGACGACGACGACGGTGATGACGATGATGATGCTGATGATGCTGCTGCTGGTGTTGATGTTGGTGGCAGCGACGGTGCTGACGGTGTTGGTGGTGGTGATGATGATGATCATCTGGTGATGACGACGACGATACTGACGACAATGAGGATGTCGA